AGTCACACCAAATTAAAATTTAGAGAACATGGACAAGGAACATCTGAAGAATTAAGATCTCGTGATTTTAGAAGAGAATTAGAAGACCGCGAACATGAAAAGAAAAAAGTAGTCGTCGAGATGGAGATTCAAGGGAAAGTAAGAGAGTTAAACTTGATCAACTTCCTGCTGCGAGTCTGGATGCAGATGATCCTCTGGACGAGGATGATGATTCAGATGAAAATGAATCTGATGATGATACGGCTGCTTTAATGGCAGAATTAAGTAGAATAAAAAAAGAACGTGCTGCTGAAAATGCTCGAAAGGAAGCTGAAAAACGTCAGGAAGAAGAAAGAATTAGAATGGAAAATATTCTTAGTGGGAATCCTTTATTAAATTATGCTGCACAAGCCACTAAAACAGATATTAAGGTGAGTCATATTTACTGTAAACTACTTTTCATTACAATTTCGAAGTAACTTATCGCTCATTAAATTGTTGAAATTTGATTTTATTGTAAGTTTTTCATTTCAATTCAAGTCCAAATTTATTAATATGTTTTGTAAAAGTGTTTATATACATAATAACTCATGCTCCTGTTGAAACATGAAGCGTACCTAAATATACAAGGTAGTACAAAATTAGAATTTTTTTATTTTATCGATTTGTAATATTTATTTCAAATTTTTTTTTTTAATAAAAAATTTTTAAAAAATATTTTCAAGTAAAATCATAATGTAAAACTCTCAGATGTATATTATTTATTGTTTTCTGATAAAAAAAATATGATAAAAAAAATTAAATCATCAGTTATAATAGCATTAACTTGACCTTTTATTTACAAAATTTCTGTGTGGAAATTTTTATTTATGATTTTTTTAAGCTTCTTTAAATAATAATAAATTTTTAGGCCACATATAAAAAAAAAAATAATAATTGTTTACAATTATTAGATAATTTTATAATGGAAAAAATTATATATTTTTTTTTTATTTTTCAAATGCAAAAATGTCCTCCAACTTAAATGACATTACATTAATGTAATTTAATACATATATATAATTCTCAGTAAAAGAAGATGGGATGATGACGTAGTTTT